TATATATTAAATTTGTTTGATAAAGTATCTACAATCAAATGTTTAAGTACTTTTTAATAAAGTTTGATTAAGTTTTTATGAAAATTGTTTTTGTTGAAAAACATTTTTCGAAGCATTCCGTCGTAAGAAGTTATTAAAAAAAATATTTTAGCGTGTATATGATGCATTGTGTTTTTAGCAAAAAAATGTTTATAGTATCCGTGCCCAAGTCTGCGTTTTCTCAAGATAATTAGGGTACGTCGATTTTTCGATCCTTCCAAGGTTGTCTTAATATTAGGATGAAAAAAATAATCGTAATAATAAGAGCAATAATTAAATGATCGGTAACAGGTGCACAAGCATTTTCGAGAAAACATCCGCTCTCGTGTTGGCTGTCGACGATGCTGGTCATCTTCGCCGGTGGTATGCTGTGCAACGGTTTACTTGGCGAACCAATACTGGCGCCCTTGAAAAACACACCTCAAGTCGTAGTTGCCACTGTTGTCTGGTCAGTTTTTTTTTTTTTTTTTTTTTTAATTCAGGGGGTGGTATAGTATTCGTTAGCGTCAGACGAATCCTGTCAAATTAGTGGCTTCCAGACAGGATCGAGTCGGTAGTCGACGTAAGCATTTGGGCCTTACATCAGTTGTGAAGGGTTTATTTTTACCGATGCTGAAAGGTTTTTTCAACAAGTATCAGCAGGTTGAATATTTACATACCTACGGATAAAAATTCTGGTTTTTACGAATAATCAGCCATTTAGTTAAGGAACGAGTAAAGTGTAGACTATGTGTATTATACTTTCGTGTGCGGCTTCGTCTTTGTTTACCTATACATTTATACATTGGCTGTACTTACACTACTACTGTCACGTCATCGCGGATTTCACGCTAGTCACGTGTGCGCGTATGTGACTGTATACATGTGCGTATCGGGGTATGTGTAGTGAACCTAACGTAAGAGTTACTGTGATATCGCAAAATTATTTTCAAGTGGAATATCTGATTTTACTTTATGATATTGGATGTGGTGAATGAATAAAATGAATCAAAAATTATTTCTCAACAAACATTTATTTCGATCGATAATTTGTTAATCATCATTTGTTGACAAATTTTTCGCTGAAAAAAAAAATTATACAATATTTACATTGAAGCTCAAAGAATTTTCCTTTCAAAAAAAAATTTATTATTAAAACATCAATCTTACACATTGTCCGAGACTGGCTTGTTTAGTTTTCACATCAGACTCCAGATATGGAATGAAATTGTCTAATGTATACTGAAAAATAAAAAAAAATCACATTTAGAAACGAAATTTCCGGTTTCCATATTTTATAACTTTACTGTACGAAATAAAAAAATGTTCTTACCCAATCTCGTACGTACTGCTGGTATTACTAACTGCATCGGGTGGGTGCATGTGATATATTTTTGATGATCGAAATATTTAGAAAAAAAAAAAAAAAAAAAAAAAAAAAAAGAAAAACTGCGATTATTTAGAAAAAAAAAAAAAAAAAAAAAAAAACAACCCCCACCCCCCACACCAGGGGGAGAGTTGGGTTTTTTTTATTAAATAAAAAAAAAAAAAAAAAAAAGCAAGCAATCGTCCCTCGGAAACTGTATGCCCTTAATTCTCCGTGAAATACGTCCACACAATACAACGTATTACGTAGACTCCAACGCAACAGAGTCAAAGTAGGATACACCGTGTAAGGGAGCGTACATCTCCTCCATTTCCTTGCTACAGTTGTTACAGGGGCAGTAAATCTTCCTATCCCCGCAGCAGAGAGCAAGTTTCCTGTACCCGGTGGGTCCTTAAGTCTCGGCCTCTTACGTCCTCCAGCGGATCTCTTGTATTTACAGTGGTTTATCCTCCGGAGCTTGCGCATGCATGTATCTCTGAGCACAGGACTTTGGCTGCACTCTTGGACACGTCCATCTCTTCCCAGCGTCCGAGTTTGAATAAACTTGGGTACGCGTCAGTGAGGACTTGGCAATACAAACCAATTATGAAATAAAATAAATATGAGCTTTCGCGAAGAACTCGAAGGATTCGGTTGAAAACAAATGTAGTACTATGATCAAGGCACCTGTATGGTACGCTTCCGGCTTATCTTCTTTTTTTATTTTTTACTTTCGTACTGTTTGAAGATAATAGGTGGTCAGAAAAAAAAAAAAAAAAAAAAAAAAAAAAAAAAAAAACTACGGTTTTTACGGGTTTACGTTAATATATCATTATTCCGTTACATTAGGGTTTTTCAATGAATCTTTGTCTGTTCGATTCCAGGGTGTGGTTTAGATTAATCTGATGAAATTTTTAAAAATTTCACACGTGCAAGATCTAATCGTTGAAAAAAGCTTTTGAAGAAAAAATCTCAATGTCCGTTGGATAAATATCTGCTTTTAGTTCTGAAAATTCACGTATACTTATGGGCGTGTGTTTTACACCAAATGTCATGTTTTCAATTAAAAATGTTCAATTACAAGTCCAAAGCTCTCGATGTCGGACTTACCTTGACGAAATCCAGCGTTTTCGCCTGAGTGAACTTGCAAGGGCAAAAATCCCAACCCACGCCAAAAACCCACCTGGCAACTAATCATGGTACTCTTACCCTTAAAAAAAATATATAAATGATCCAACTCCGCATGAAAAAGACACGCACACTCGCGTTGACTACTGCCTCGGTGGAATGTGCGAGAATCGTTCATAGTGAAAGAAGCCCCCAAGCTTCGTCTCTCCGATGTCCGCACTTACGTGCATATAGAAAAAAAAAGCGCGAAATCGACCCAAGCGCTCTCAAGCGTTGCGGAGGCCACGATTGCCGTGTACGTATCGTTCGTGAAATTGCAGCGCTACATGCGCGAGTGTTTGTGTTTTTCCTCCTCAAAGTTCGATGTCCACGTGCGAGGGAGGGGCCCATTTCACGGGGGAGAAAGTATCGACTTTGGGAGGATCTGGAGCGTGTGGTACGGGAATTTTAATTGGGACCACATACACGTGCACTCTCGGGAGCAATCGGTGAGTGCCCACNAAAAAAAAAAAAAAAAAGGGACGACAGTACAACAGTGGTGAGGGTTTAAACCGGCCACGGGAGGAGCGAAAAGGCGAGGGCCGCACGGAGTTCGGAACTGAAAATTCCGAGGGTTGCGGCAGCGACTGTGACCACCATTTTTGCCTCCAGAACCCCTTTTTTTTTTTTTTTAATTTAATCCAACACTTTTGAAATGATTGAGAGGAAAAGAGCCCAACACGTTACTCTGAGGGACGCGGCCGTGCTGGTGTGGCAGTACATATGGCCGCGTCCCTCTATCGCGAGGAATTTTCAGTTTGGGAGGGAAACTTGAAAAATAAGGACTGGGAGGGTATCGCAGCACCACCACGAGCACCAGGTCCGGACAGTGTGGGACCACCAACTCCGAGGTGGAGGAGTCGACTGAACTAAAACTGCGTTTGGCCTCCCTTTTTATATGCGGTGATGGTCACTGAGTGGATATGAGTCAGTGCTTCAGTATAGGACAGTCGAAGTCACGTAGCAAAGGCCTTGGGGAGCTTGAGCCATCGCAGCTACGTGGTAATGTCCAAATTTCGGGGTGTGACTTTCGTGCACTTTCTTTTCGTTGGAAAATTGGCGGCTCTTCACTTTCTGTTGTAGAAAATTTTCTCTTTCTGTTGTACAGCACGACTCGAGTATTCTTGGACTTTTGTACTTATGAGTATTAATTTGACGGTCACAGTAGTCGATGTAATAAATTATTTTGTAAAGTACGTGCTGTACATCTCAAATTTCGTCATAAGCCCTAAAGCCTAAAGGAGCTTCGACACTTGAGGATATTATTGGAACTTGTTAACCAACACCGTTTCTCTTCATCAAATAAATAATAACGATGCTTTTGAAGATAAACATCTCTTTTTCACTTCTTCTTTCTTAACGATTCCCACTCTCACTCGCATTGAACGATTCAGTTCTTTGAATCGAAAGAAAATTTTTCTTATCTCATTCCGTTAAATACTTTCTTTAAAATAATGAAGCTTGTGGTATATAATTCGAGGAATTTTTAGTAAAACACGTATATATTTACTTGCAAACAATTACACAGTTATACAGTACAATGGTAAATAATAGTAAGGTATAATAACGTGACAATCTTGTAAATAATTAATACGAAGTAGTTATAAGCACAATTGATTTCGACGTTAATGTGCTCATCGTAAGAGACAATGGTAACAGTTGTATTTACGTGATGCTTTTTGAAGAATAATATTTTTTGCCCTGATGGTAACGATATACCGTATATATATTCATATCAGCACATCAGCCAACCTTGAAGTGCTGGATCGCCTAATCGTTAGTGTTACGTATATACCCCTAGGGTGGTACACTTAAAAAAAGTGCCACTATTTACAGCACGAGAAAAGTGTAACTACGATGGGTATACTCTTGAGAAACTCGTTGAGTCGATCAACTTGATAAGTTTAATTATTTCAAATTCCTATTTTATATAAATATCTTTAATTTTACATCACTGATGCGTGCAAATGTGTACGTCATCAAACAAAAAAGTAAATTCGGCTAGGAAGATGTAAGTAATTATATGGGAATTAAAATGGTGCGACGTATAAACTCTTTGGAATTTTTTTTTCTTCCCTTCTCTCTACTCTGGTCCGTCTCGTATCCGCGTTTCAATTCCTTGCATTGAAACAGAAATCCCAGAGAGAAAGAGCACGACCCCTTTGATGATTCCTGAATGCTTATATGGAACTATGAAAATATAATGTCACAGCTCGAAATTTCGTGCCCCTAGAGAGTAATACAGTCTCCAATTGTTTTTTTTTTTTTTTTTTTTGTTACGACTGCAGTGGTTTGTCATTCAACGACCCAATCGTCTAACGAAAATTCAATTAACGTTACAGTTATCCCGAAGGAAAGAAAGAAAAGAAAGTCACCCGAAAATGCAAAATACCCCAAAATCCCCGCAAACTCCATCAAAGTTAAACCCGACGCATAAATTTGTTTGCAGATGTCACCGACGACGATGGGCAAAACCGGCCGGCCACCCCTCCCCGCCTCGAGGAGCAGTTGCTTTTTAATCGCCCTCTTTGCCCTGCTGACGCTCCTCTCGGCCGGCAACGGTGTCGCCGGGGATGGACCTCGCAGCTACAAGGTAAGCTATACGCACGACCACCCGAACGGGCTTGTCACACGGAACTGCGAAAGACTCGTCTGCGCCCGTAGACTGACAATCATCCCCGAAGGAATGAAGATTAATCTTACTGCGCTCGAAATTGGGAAGGGCCCGTGATTAATCGCTCTATCAGCCAGACGCTTTTGGATCACTCGGGAGGAGACTTTTTTTTTTTCTTTTCCAGGACTGAATACTCGAAAATGAGTTTCGAAATGGCATTTGTGGGTGGGGGGAAGGATCCGTTTTAAAGAGAGGCCGTATGCATCGCGTGTTATATGATTCGGGGCCGAGGAAGAGGGGCCCCATGAATCAAAACAAAATCGTAATTTACTCCGGGCGCGACTCGTTTCTTAATTAATTCACGGCCCCTCCCCGTTCAAAACTTGGAGCAAAATTCAATAACTTTGGGGAAAAACTTTCGCCCGCGCCCCGATAAAATCTAATTACACGGCCCCTCGAGCCGGTTACACGGGAGCGGCCTACCCCCGCGAAAACGGAATATGCATTTGGATGGCGAACAGACGCCCCCCCTCCCCGACTTTTCTTCAAATGCATCCCCGTATCGATTCGCAGTAATGACCCAAATCCCCGCGCGGAGGAGCGAAAAAGTTGGATGATTCAGGCGCAAAGTTCCCTTCGGTCCCTATACACATATATATATACCGGATGGCGCCGCCTAGGAGGGAAAGTTACACACCCCCTCCGCCGGTTCTCTAATTACACTTTTAAGGCAGTTGTCTCTCGTTCGCGGCTCTTTTGTGCAGGCGACCCCCCCCCCCCTCTCTCGGTTCATTAGTCGACGTGTGAACACTCGCTGCATCAATTGTATACCGCTCCCCCGACAAATGGCCCTCTTAAACGCACACTACAATTATATGCTTCGTTTGCCGTTTCCCCTGAAAACGACTGCACTCGAAACTTTGCCCCGCTATTAATTTGACCTCGTGCGTTTAATTATCGCGCCGCGCGAGAAAAGAGCGCGTCGACAGCGTCCGTTGGATTAAATTCACGTACACCATCCTGACCTCTTTTGTATCAATGTGCCAAAACTTTGAAGGAAAAAAAAAAAAAGAAATGTGTTGTATGTGCAAACTCGTCAAACATCACGAGCAGCTGGTACATAGTATACATGCCATCGTGTATACGTGTATCGAGTGATGCACTCCGCGCGCCTATGCTGTCGCGTATAAATCTAGCTGGCTTAATTTGACTCGCGTTTGACGATAATTAATGCCAACAGCGCGTGTATATGCATACCCGAAGAGGAGGGAATGAAGAGCGTAATTGAAAATACTTTGTTCGTGACACCGCGCTACTGATGCATATGGGTTGTTTATTTTTCAAACTTAATCTACGTTCATTTGGCCATATTTCCGGGAAACCCAATGATGACGACAGTTTGGTGATTTTATGGATCTCAAGCAGTTTTTGGTCGTTTACGCGCGTACTTGTAGGTATCTATAAATAAAACGGCCATTATATGGACGAGAACGGCCAACGACGGCTAATCCGAAGCGAAAACTTCCGCAATTGATTTCCCACGTACACCCATATGGCTTCCATAACTGCTGGGGGGGGGGGGCGGTAAAATAAATTTACAACTACGTACGACCCTCGGCTATAATTATCCCTCGTTGCTGCAAAACTGACTCCGAACTTTTGATCGCGAAACAGCTCGGGACTTTTATCACGCCGGCTCCCCCTCCGTGGCTTCGAACTTTTATACGCACTTATTGCCGCCTCCCCCCCTCCCGCTCGTACATATGCTTGAAGGTAACGCAGTTGGTGTGTGTACACCTTGTGTAGACGAGGGGGAAAATTAACTATGTACCGTGTGTAGGGGAGGAAATGGTCGTCGAGTCAAAGTGGCCTCTTATGCGCGGAGGAGTGTATCATATCTGCGATTTTTGGGCCATAAAAGCTTGTGGAAAAAAAAGGCTAAACTTTCTCTCGTTTCGATGCACAACAGCCTCTCGCATTCGTTAATCCCAGACGATCCTCAACAACTCGGATAATCAGGAAAATTCCCCTGTACGAGTGTCTCTTTTCCCTTGCACGCGCGAGCTCGTATAGGTGTATACATACATATACATGTACGGAATGTAGGTCAGCTCGCGCAACATTTACATCCTAATCCGCGGTCGGAAGCCCGCAGTATCTCCCTCGCTTGGGCTGCACGTCTCTTTTGTCCTCTTCTTTCGGGAGCAACGCGTCTCTTTGATTTAGCTTTGCTCGTCTTATCCGTGTCGGGGGAAAGTGCGCACGTGACGGGCAATACAATACTCTGCGGTGGAGTACCATATATATAAGTATACTTTTGGCCCTGTATGCACTGCCATTGGGTGCATGGTGTCTTAATTAAGCTCGTCGCGTATACGCATGGGAATGACGATTGTTTCTCCAGTGTAATCGTACTGCTCGCGAGGACGAAGCGAATTAAATTTTTATGCTGTATAGTATTGAGTACGTTTTTTTTTTGTTTTTTTTTTTTTTTTCACATAAGTACGCGTGGCGCGGCTTTACGAGGTAACGAAATTGAATGGTAGGTCCTCGAGTACTTTGAATAGTTTTGTGCATTTGTTGAAAAATTTTTCGCTGAAAAAAAAAAATTATAGAATATTTACATTGAAGCTCAAAGAATTTTCCTTTCAAAAAAAAATTTATTTTTAAAACATCAATCTTACATATTGTCCGAGACTGGCTTGTTTAGTTTTCACATCAGACTCCAGATATGGAATGAAATTGTCTAATGTATACTGAAAAATAAAAAAAAATCACATTTAGAAACGAAATTTCCGGTTTCCATATTTTATAACTTTACTGTACGAAATAAAAAAATGTTCTTACCCAATCTCGTACTGCTGGTATTACTAACTGCATCGGGTGGGTGCATGTGATATATTTTTGATGATCGAAATATTTAGAAAAAAAAAAAAAAAAAAAAAAATTGTTTTAGGTACGCAACAATTTGCCCATCTCCTGTCCAGTTCCACGTGTAGGTACCTGTGTCCTTGGGAAGGACAAACAAAATGCAAGTAATACGTATACGCACAAGTAGCCAGAAACTTGCGCGACGGACTTTTTCAAAAAAAGAGACGAGGTTTTCACTTGTGTGCAGGCGCGCCGCAACAGGCAGCCGAGCGTAAGTGCACACCTATACATATACACGTGTGTAGAAAAGAGGGTAGTATACGCGCGTCGGTGAACGTGGGTATGAGAACGAGGGCGATATTGCGAAAGTTCGAAGACAACAACGACGACGACAGAAGACACACACACGTATGTTACGAGGAACCTCGGAAAATCGCGAACGGATGCGCGCGAGTGCACGGCTGGGCGGTTTTCTAGTGTACATACACGCGAGAGAAGAAGCTTGCGCGCCGGGGTGTAATTCCGCGCGAAATTACACGTGTCGGTGATTTACGCCCTCGCGGGCGTCGCTCGACTCCTCTTTCTTTTTCTCCGCCTTTTTGCCCCTATATATAAGTCCTTTGTTTTTCCCCTTGTACCCCCTTGTATTTCCTTTTTCCCTCTGTCGCGCTCGAATACACTCGCTCCGTGAGCTGTTCCCAGCAATCTATCGGTTGTCATTATACACGCGAGCCAGCAAAGTAACAACACCAGCTACTTTTCCTCGCGTAGAGTGGGTGTTTAAGGATATGGTACACTTATTTCCCCACCACCCCCCTGGCCAAGGATAGTGCTTTTGATGCCCAAGGGCGATTTCGGGAAGCACGAACTTTCGCTTGTAACTTGCGGGACTTTCGTTTATTCCGCGGAGCCCGAAGCTCCTCCGTTGGCGAGTCGCGCGTGTGCATAAAATACAGGATTATACGGTGCAAAAGAGATATGAAGGAAAAAAGGACACCCAAGTATGAATAAGAGCCAACGCACAAATAAACTTTTATGGCCCTTTTCTCTACGCACGGCACTTGTCTCCATCTTCTCTCCCGTTTATACGTACACATACATCTACATAATATATATATATACACGGTTGGATGATCCGTTGCCAATTGTATGTATCGTCCCTCGTGATATTTTTTTTTTGTCTACCCTCCAGACCCTCCCGAGACCTTATAATCCTCTGGCACGCTCCGTCTCATTTTACGTATATAAAGACGGATGGATAGATACACGCGTATACCCATATACGTATAGGGGAAGCGATTTTCCTCGATCCTCTTGCTGGAGGAGTAAACGATTTGCCGACGCGAGCCAAGGAAAATCCGATGCCTCGTTTTATTTGCTCGCGTCTTGGAATGTGTACCGAAGACAGGGACAATTCTTCTTCTTTTACTCATCGCTTTTTACGTTGATTTTTTTTTTTTTTTTTTTTTTTTGACAAAATAGAAAATCATGGGCATGCTCTTCGTTACATCAGCAAAAAAAAAAAATGTAATAAATTTGTTTTTCCTCGGTGTAAAAAATCGACCATTTAAATCGATGATTTGCTGATTCACCGTGTACGAAGCCCCCGACCCACGGAATCAATAATGGGACCCTAATCGATGCAAATCCCGTTGAATAATGCGCGCCGGAGCAGCAGAACTGCAGACGATGCCGTAACGGCGAAACCGCAGAAACGACGTCGATATGAATTTTTAATCCTTACCTTGTGCGCATTACGCGGCTAAACAGTCGGAGGAGCGAGAGCTTACATATATATACGTTGCCTTATCCTGTATATAACTACGAGCGTTCAAAGTGAGGGGGTATTATCGATGCGCGTCGGGCTTATCGGGGCAGCTTGCGATGTGAGCTTTTGCCGCGTCGGTTAATCCGTGCATTGTGTGTCGAAGGGAGGGCTCCGATCAGCCGCGGATCGGAGCCACTCGATTAAGCGAATTAGATCGTTTTGGGCATTGACACTTGGTGAGCTTCGGCGTTCGTGGTACGCGCCTGGATGGAGTTACGAGCATTCATGAGTATACGTGCATTGTAAAAGATGAGACATGGTTGTTTCGTTCTCGATGCAACGCCATGGTATAAAACTTTTCGAAAATAATTATGATGTATGACACATGAGTGGACCTTGCGTGGGCATTGATTTGATGTCACAAAATTATTTTCCAATCGGAGACGTATGAGTTTTATTTGTAGTTTTTGATGAGCTGGATAAATAAACCAATTTTTTTTGTTTTTTTTTTTTCTTATAAAAATGTTTATTTCGATCGATAAATCATTGGCGGTTATTTGATTCCACCACAATGGCTTTAAGTATACAAGCGACAAGTTGAGGTTTTCAAAGTCTAATAGTTATATGAATTTCCAAATGAACAAAAAGTTTTTCTGTACATCGAAACGGTCTAATAAAAATATATAAAGCTTATATTTAAATGTTCTCTGCTGCTATATTTTTGGTGTATTTTGATCAAGTCCCTCAACACCCAAGTTGGCAAGATGCGATTTCTGAAAAAAAAATACAAAAAATATATTTAAAACAAAAATTTTTACTCAATTCTAAAAGTATGTAGAAAAATTTTTTTATCACCTTTTTTCCAACTTGTGGGTTTTCTGTGATTCGGCTATCAGATATCTGTGATCCTCGAGTACTTTGAATAGTTTTGTGCATTTGTTGAAAAATTTTTCGCTGAAAAAAAAAAATTATAGAATATTTACATTGAAGCTCAAAGAATTTTCCTTTCAAAAAAAAATTTATTTTTAAAACATCAA